ATATATATATATATATATATATATATATATATATATAGAGGGAATAAAGCAAAGCAAACAAGGAATTCAAAAGGATTACTATTCATGTTACTGGACACCTGCACTAGTAATCAGCAGATCCTGTTTAATGATTGGTATTATAAGGAAACAGACACTGAATGTATGAAAATTTGTAGGAATCTTCAATTGGAATGCAGATGTTCGGTCAACCTGGTTTATATATATTTTTCTTTCTTTGTGTTATTGTTCCTCGCTTTAATCTAATGTTTTGTCGATAACTTATATCCATCCATCTCATCCACTCCCACAATACTAGACAATTATTTTTTATATTGTATCAATATTGCACAATAAAAAAAAGGTGTACCCAGTACATGAGGCTCCCACCAATGCAGAGTCTAGGGAGGACCAATGTATACAATCTTATCTTCAAATATTTAAAGGGTGTACCTTACTGTTGTACCAAGGCCTGCCCTCTAACATTGCACAATATATAGCATAATTTTATGAAGATGATCCCTCATTAATAATATTTGGAATCCTACCCCCATGGAGTATGTAGTTTGTAGGTCAAATTATCCTGCTATTTTGGTCACTTTATACCTTGGTCCTGGCCTTAAGCTTCTTCAAAGTCTTCTGTATTAACTGTTTGTTGCTGGAACTTCTAAGGTAACTGTTGCATAGCATTCTTTATATCAGTTAAATGCTTTGTCGTTGTTATTGTTTTATTCCTCTCCTTTGCTCCATATCTATGGTTTTCTACAAATGTAATTTTCAGTCTTTGATAGTTTAGATTAAATGCAGGCCACCCTTGCGTCAACATATTTTGTTGCCAATGAACCTGAGGATGACAACATTCTTCGGACCCGAACATATGATGTTAGCATTACGTAAGTACTTTAGTGGAAGAAAGATTGTCCTTTTGACTCAAATAACTGACATATGTTTGCTATCTTTGGTGTTGTATGTCTTGCAAGCATTTATGCAAAAATCATTTTGAAGGTAAGCTAACTTACTTGTATATAAGAAATTAAGAACACTACATAAACATAGCATTTGGTTGCACATGGTCTACATAATTTGGCAGTCTGGGCTCTTTTCTTAAGAATGTGATTTTATGTCTTACCTGCAATCTGTTTATGCCGCACATTTAACTTAGTGACTTGCTGGTTTTGAATAGAGATAAAGTAGACCTCACTCTTTGATTCTTTAGAGGAAGAGTCAAAATCAAATTTCCTTCTTGCACTCAAAGTCTTATACTCTTATTCAACAATGTGAACAGGCTAAAAGGCAAGAGACAGGAAAATATCTGGTAGGGTAAAGTCAAAAGAGAAGGTAAAATTGATATGATGACACTGCATGACAAAAAAGGATCTTATTTTGACTTATCAGACTTTATAAGCTCTTTTGGGTTTGTTTAATTTGGTGAAAGACAAAAATTGCCTTGTTAGATGGTGAACTAGGGAGAGAGCATTTTTATCTCATCTTGGCATAGCATGGTGCAGGTCATGCTATGCCACATTTATCATAGGCATACTCAGATGCTCATGCCCATACATGGGAATGGTATTGGATAGATACGTGCCAAATTTAAACACCCCACCCTATTTTTAGTGGTATATCTTGTTCTCATTCCACGGTTGCATTGTTTGTTCTTGTTTATGTAAGTGTAAGTTACTTTAATTATAATTTACACCCTTAATTTGTTTGAGAAGAACACAAGTGTATGATTAATTACATTACACTCGTCCTTTTAAAATCTATTATACAATCTTGTTGTAATTTTAATATACAGAATAAGCCAGCCTTGTTTACCTTTTTCCTTTTTAGTCCAAGGGTCAGGATCAAGAAGTTCATAAGTTGGATTTTGTCTATGCATTATAAAACATGGTACTAACAAAGTAAGGGTTGTTGTTACGTTTGAAGTTGATTAGACCATAATTATGATCTTATATAACTAATACTGCAATTTCATATTATATATATAATATATATATATATATATGTATATTCTTTTGTTGTTTGTAATTTATTTTTTTAATTTGAATATCATTCATCATTCTTGTGATAAAGTTACCGTTAGTGGATTTTGATTATTGTGGATGACATGTTTGTTTTTGCAGGTATGACAAGTATTATCAAACTCCTCGTGTATGGCTTACTGGATATGATGAGGTAGTTCCACTATAATGATGCTTCTTCATGAAAGTTTAGATTAGTTATTTAAAGTAATTGTATGGCTTAATTTATTTTAGCTTCTACTCTCATAGTACATTGTCATCTTTATGGATTTAATAATAAATACACAAGCATTTAGCAGTCTACTGTCAAACAATGTGATTCATGAAAACAACAATTTGCCAATTTCAAAATGTACTTTCTGTAGTTTGAAATTTTTTGCTGATTCCTGACTGGGGAACTCAAGTATTTTGAATTCTCTTGTTAAGATTGAGAATACTTTATTTTGGAACTTTTCTGGTGGACAGATCTAAAGCTGAGTCACATGATGTAGTTAACTTTCAGAAATAGGCACAGACAACTATTCTGTGTAGATGCTACTAGTATGATGTGATACATTCTAGTAAAGTTTCATTAATTTAATAAGTTGTGCTGCCGTTGTGGTGATTGTAACCGCACATGCTATTCTCAACAAATCTTGTACTCTCTGTGGCCTTCAGATTTATTTGTTTCTTGGTAGATATATGTTAAAAATATTAAGATATTAATGATAATCTGGAGCCTTTTTTACTAGGCCCTTGACCGTATGTTTTGTTATTCTGTTGCAGTCAAGGATGCCTCTGCAGCCAGAACTGGTATTTGAAGATGTTAGCCAGGATCATGCACGGAAAACGGTGATATCACTGTTCTAAAATTTATTTCACGGCTGATTGGCTGTCTCTCACACTTGTTTTAATTATTTGTCATGAATATCTCAGAGATCAGTTTATCCTTCAGCGTGATAAACTGACGTTATTGAGGTTGTGTTTGTGGATGAAAAAGTATTTGTGTTTATTCACCAAACAATTCATCAGTGGCTCCAAAAAAAATTGTATGTTCCTTCTGTAAAGATGGATGATGAAGATCCTACAGGCCAAAGTTTCTATATTTTTTTCATGGTATCAACTGAGTCCAATATGATAATGCCCAATCAATATTGGTAGCATCAAGTTTATCTGATTTTCACGGGTGTACCATATGATATTTGCCAGTGTAGTTATTGTATGTGTTGCATGTTTTAGTAGTGGATATCTCATTACTGTGATGGTTTTTAATAAATGGTAGATCATTTAAAAATATATGTTTGGTTCTAGCATTATGTAACGATTTCATTGTACATAGATCATGTCTGGACTCCTTATTTTCTTGAATAAGGAAGTTCTGCATTAGCGATCATGTCCTAATGACTTTCACATGACATAGAAACAAATGGCGACATAACATTCTCATGAATTAGTTGTCAGATTTTTTTCTCAAGGTATTTATTTCTCTGTAAGACCTAGAGTTTTCCGACATAATTTTGTCATCATTTTTCTTGGTACTTCAACTTCTTGCTTGACTTTCATTTGGTTATTAATTGCATCTTTTGGAAGTTGACAGGTGACAAGTGAAGATCATCCTCACTTGCCCGGGAAGCATGCATCTGTACATCCATGTCGTCATGGTGCTGTGATGAAAAAGATCATTGATGTTCTAATATCACGTGGAGTTGAACCAGAAGTCGATAAGTAATGTTCTTTGTGATAGATGCAGTCAGTAACTGAAATATAGAATCTTCATGCATCGAGGACCTTGTCATGTGATGTTTCCGAAAGTTGATAAGCCGTGCTTGTCAGCCTTTTGGTTCTATTTCCTCAAACTCCAATTTAGTACTGCAATTCCATTTATAATGTCGAAATGTGGCATTATACGGCTACCATGACCATCTCCATTCTTTTGCAGATACCTGTTCTTGTTCTTGAAGTTCATCGCCTCGGTGGTTCCTACTATCGAGTATGACTATACAATGGACTTCGATCTTGGCAGTTCCAGCAATTGATAAGAGGTATGAACCTTGTTATCAAGTCAATATTCGGGCATATGGATAAATTGCGTCTGTAGGGCACAATGCATATAATATCATGTGATACTCAAACAAATTGGATGGTTGCCTTCAGGGATGAGAAGAACCAACAAAACGTGCATTGTCGGGACCTCTTATATCAAGAAAGCAGCATGGCTTGTATTTAGAAGAAGCTCGAAGCAATTGGACGTTTCAGTTTGTATGCCAGCCTTCTAATAGTCAACTGTACATTCTAAGATGCACATTTGTGTCTGGATAATATGACATCATCTGCAGTCATGATTTCGATTTCCCTTGTTGAAACTGAACATGTTTAAGTCTTCTATATCAGTCTGTGACATACTTGTGCAGGTTGTCAACACTAAAAATTTGGTTCTGACTACAAGCAGTGTGCTATTCTATTTATTTATTGGAGTGTCTCAACAATTCTAGCTGTGCTATTCTATTTATTTATTAGTAGTTGGAAAGTGGGCATGATTTTGATGAATCAAGTGATGGCCCTCATCCTAGTTTCAGATTAGTTTATCGAATTGGTGGTCTCGATTCCGTCAAATTTGAAACTGATGATTTCAATTAATTTGGATTCCGAATCTTTTTTGTTTATTTTTATTTTAATTTTTTTTTAAAATGTTAATTAATTAATTAATTAATTATATTGAATTCATATCGGAACCAAATCGGCATTTTGGTTCGATTTAGAATCGTTCATGTGATTTGATTTTAATTCTAGACCGGTTCGTCGAATCGTTGTTGTGATTTGATTTTAATTTTGGACCGGTTCGGGTTCGATTCGAAGCTTAGTGGGATCATGACACCCTCGCTACAGATGTATTTGATCGAACACCTGGTGGTCAATGCTTTCGTGTCTTGTTGCCATCCGCACCGAACCTATAGCTGACCGACTGACGTCTATATATGTACTTAACCCTGACGCCACAATGGTGCGTTGCAAGCGATAGAAAGATGGGTCGATGCTTGATCGGACACTGTGTGCTTCTCCTCGGCCTCATCCTCGCCATCGTCCCGTTCGTCGCCTCCGAGGTAAGCTTCCGCTTGACCAGAGATCTGAGATCGTGTTGTGTCTGCGTGCGTGTGTGAATGATGTGATCTGATGGAGTGGCACAGGAGGAGGATGAGTGCGTGTACACGGTGTACGTGCGGACGGGGTCGGTGTTCAAGGGGGGGACGGACGCCACCATCGGGCTGACGCTGGGGGACGCGGCGGGGCGGGAGGTGGCGGTGGCGGACCTGGTGGCGTGGGGCGGCCTCATGGGCCCCGACCACGACTACTACGAGCGAGGCGCCCTCGACGCCTTCAGCGGCCGCGGGCCCTGCGGCCTGGCCACGCCGCTCTGCCGCCTCAACCTCACCTCCGACGGCGCCGGCGCCCACCACGGCTGGTACTGCGAGTACGTGGAGGTCACCGCCACTGGGCCCCACACCCTCTGCTCCCAGACCCTCTTCTACGTCCGCCAGTGGCTCGCCACCGACGCCCCGCCCTACCGCCTCTACGCCACCGTCGACGGCTGCGCCCAGCCCGAGGCCGCCCCCAACTCGGATCACCGCCGCCTCGTCGTCGGCTCCCAAACCGACTCTTCTTCCTCCTCCTCCTCCTAAAGCCCGATCTCGAGATCTCGTTGCCTGTTTCCGTTTTGGCTTCCTTGAGTTGTCTGTGTGTGGCTCGTTTCTGCAACGAACATCTTGACCGCAGTTATCGTGTGATCCTGGAATAACGAAGAAGAACGATCGATGATGTGTTCTTTGATATGCTTTCCTCTGATTTCGCGAGTGCTTCATTTATTTTCCTTCTTATTTTATTCCATTTTTCTGGATGGTTGATCTCAGCAATGGTGTAATGTCCCAATGCATCAATCTGTGTTTCAAGTGGTAGGAAGGGAAGACCCTAATTTTGGCTTTGCATTCCGCGTCGAGGGAGAAGACATCCCCGCATGCCATATGTTTGGCCGTGGAGGACCAAAATATAACGAGCACACATGAAGTTCGACCATGATTCTATCAAGTTTGATGCTACGTTGTGCAGTTATCAAGTTCGTGTCGAAGTTCGCTATACTGTATCGTACCGACATTTCGAAAACGTTTCGGGCTTGATACGATATGGTACCGATATACCGGGTGATACATCAGGACGTACCGAGCACGTCCTGATGTACCGAATATTTTTTACCTTGGTCCGTGCTAACGACTAACCGATTAGATAAAAAGAACAACTCGGATTAGATGATAATGACTAGCCACTTATTATGTGCTATCATCTATTGATAATGCGTTTTAATGCAGACAATATTCAATTTTAGTAGTGTCATACTAATTTTGAAAGTGAGTTTAATATTTCATTTCAGACGGCATAATAGCCTTTTTATACATTGTGATGGTTTTCATATATATATATATATATATATAGTCTCCTTTTCCTTTGCAAAAGAACAAAGAAGAAAGATAGCAAATTGCTATGCATATAACAAGCAGGGTCATGAAATAAGGCATTCTGCCGACCAGCCACTGGCATTAGAACATCACAAGAAGTAGCAGAAACAAGTTTCTTAAACGGATACATCCAGAAAAGTTAAAAGTCTAAACCATTCGAAAACAAGAACAAAAATGAGAGATGGGTTCACGGTGATGCTGCAATCTCAGCATTTTCTATTCTCTCCAGGAATGCTAATCATTTGTATGATGGAACCTAAGTATACCGTAGAGCTTGCACCACTAAACAGAGCGCTGGTTCGCAGAGACTCCCGAATCATGACCCTCATTAGCAGCCATTTCCTGCGTAGGAGGTGGATTGATGACGCTCGGCTGCGTTTCGACATTATCAGAGAGATGACCTCTCATTTCGCGATGCTCCTGGCAGATGGCACACCAGTGCATGCAGCAATGCACCATGCAAGGGTCACATGGAGAGTTCTGCAATCGAATAACAAGATCGATGATCAACAACACAAACAAATGCAGGAGATTGTTTTCTAGCCCATCCATCATAAAAAAGATCAGAAGATGAGACTTTAGTTAATCAAAAGTAGATCAAATAATCCAGCCATCATATATCTGAGAATGCAGCGAATGTGGTAAGATACAAGCAAGAAAATGCCATCAGACTAGCACAATTCTGTAGCCATCTTAAACCATTACTTCCCTTCCTGCATAGATCATGTTAAAATTATCTTTAAGTTTTTAGAAATAATCAAATGACAGATACAAATATCGCTATTAAAATGAGGTGTTTTCTTAATGAAATTTGGTGAGGTCTCATTTCTACATGTGGTGACTTGCAACAGTTACAGCAATTATACAACTTCATATGTCTTCTTACGTAAAGGATCATCGGACCTACAGAAAAGAATCAAGCTTCCCAACATAACTCGCATAATAAAATTAATCTTTAGGCTTACACTAATGTTGAACAAAGAATATCTGGGGAATGAAAAATGCAGATAAGAAACATCTTTGACCAATCTGCATAAATTATAATTGATTAAGCACCCTTATTCATATTCAGCTGAATAAAAGTGATTCAGATATATACTACATCTGAATTTGCAAAAAACGAATCATCTCTTGGACTTGTGATTGCATAACTATCAAGTACACTTGAAAAGTGAGCATGTATGATTGTTGATGTTGCAGGCAAAGATTTAGAATTATCATCACACATATATCTAGGGCCAATAATGAAATAATTATGTGTCAGAAGTATATATACATAATAAATCATTTATAGCATGTTGGAAATCAAATCAGTGCACTGGAAAGGAAAAATTCCATGAACTAGCAGACGGCATTAACGTAACAAGCTAATACTTATAAATGAAAAACATTGCCAAGCCACTAGGAAGTGAAAGTTGGACATAAGTTGCACGATGAGACAACAAAAGACCATTTAAGAAGAATTATTAGTCATGAAAGGTTGGTTAAAAAAGAACCATGTGGCATAAATCATGTGACATGACAACCAAACTTGCATGATGTAGATCTTGAATGGCATCTAACATTCACAAAAACAAATCCCATGTCGAGAGAAAGGATAATTGGAACAGATGTATAAAGATATTAAGCAAAAAGATTGTGATGGTGGTATATGCAAATTGCTTCACCGAGGCAAAATAAGCAGCGGCAGAAATGTTCTATTGTACTCTCAGTGGTCTCAGTTAAAAAATGTAAAAATTCTTTTGTTATGAGAATTTAACAACAGAAAATACATGGAAAAAAAATCCAGAAAAAAGAAACAAAAGTGTTCACCTTGAGATGGTACTTCTTCTGCAGTGATTGACGAAAAATACCAGTGTAAATACCACACATCCACCAAGAGAACATTAAACATTCTCCAATCAAGAATGAGGTTCTTGGGTCAACACCATGGAATGCTGCTGTAGCAACTGCCAATGCAATTCCACCTTCGACAAAAACAGCATGACATGCACAAGGAGTAGTCCATGGTATATCTTCTTTAAGTCTCTCTACATTGTGCCCAAACAAGACACAAGGACAGAACAGCCCGGTCCAACCTACCATCAAAAAGTACCAGAATTGTAGTTTGATATGGTACCATACAGGTCCAAGTCATATGAGTGTATGCGGTACAGACCATTATTTAATCCTTCTTTTAACTATTAAAATACCCTAACCTTCGTTAATAACTTCAAAAAAAAAAGATTTGACAATGTGATGATAATCTATCAATAAGGATTGAAATCTAAATTCAAGTGCATAGCTCAAAGCGATCAGAGATGTTCATCTATCAATTAGCTAGATAATGTTAGCAGACTTCGAAAGGAAAAAAATCGAAGGTAATGCAAATTCAAAGAACAGAGATATAGTTGAAACAAAAAGTTAATGGTATGTTTATAAAGCTCTGCTTTTGTGTTTCACCCAAATTCAATATAGGCTGATATATAAAGCAACAACAAATGACTGATATCCAATAGTCATTTCACTCATTTGTGATCCAAGCAACAATTTGGTAATAGTCAAGCAAAGTATAAGATTGTTAATCAGATGTCTTAATGTCAAAATTAACCCCTCATTTCAAATTATGATATGTAATCTACACAATGTTTGGCAGCATATTGCATGACCATGACCTTCATCAACCAAATGACAACAAAACCAAAGTTTCCTATAAATGCGGGATCAAAGATGATCTAACTTGTGTTTTTGATTTTCCGATGGAAAAGAAGGCTTCAGGTTTATGTTTGCAAGCCAACAATTCATGCACAGTTATACGAGACCCAATACCAACCAAATAGATCTTCGATCTTTTTCAATCTCATTTCTTCTTCCAAACAAATATGAGGATTTAGATAATACAGGAATGATCCACATGGGTCTCAGGCTCCAGGAATTAGGTTACCATTCTTTAGTTACTTAGTCAGTATATATGGATTGTAGCTACCTGTAATACATATTGCCTCTGCTGAGGCATGACTCGCACCATTCTACTGACATGGCAACATATTTGATTACATTAGCTGAAGAACATCTACGAATTTTCCTACTATCAATGCAAGGATTGTCCCGCTTTATTGGCAATCGTCGGCATAGGATGAAAGCGTGTCATACCAGAAAGGTATTAGTGTGCCCCATGCCAATCCTTCCATGAAATGGCAATCCTTCCAACAGGGCATTCGGCCAAACTCCAAACACTAGTAAACTAACTATACAAGACATGCATGCTAGTCTTACTGGTGTTCTTGAGAAAAATAAACCCTCATGCAAAATTATCGACTACTTCAGGCTAAAACCTACATGTTTATCTTATTAATCATATCACATTTCTCGAAGCCGAACCAAAAGATTGCATTTTGAAATGTTGACATAAAGGAAGAAACCAAGCTCACAACTCTCGGCATCCTCGGCACATCCACAAATCCCGGTTGTCCAGTGTTCATCCGCCGGTGGCTGGTAGCTCTCTGGCAGAGGTTGCCCACATTCAATACATTTCTGAATCTCCAACTAAGACAACAAATCCAGCAACACGAATCTTAGAAGACTGAATGTCGTCAACATCTCGTAACCCAGATTGGGTTCCTTGAACAACATCGGATGTCATGAAAGAACCAAAACCGAAATCTCATGAACTGGGGCAAACCTGAGGGACGCGAATGGGCTGGTTGAGCTCTCCGGGACGGATCTCCTCCATCGGCGCATCATGGATCTTGTTCAGTTTCACGTATCTCGACGTCACCGTTTCCTCCGCCATCGTTGCAGATCAAAGGGATCAAAGGACGATCGCAAAGAAGACCTAGGAACAAGAAGAAGCGATCCAAAACCCGACGGATTTCTGCAGTCAATTTGGATAGACGGATTCCAGATCTAGAAGATCGGAAGAAACCATAAGACGAGAGAGAGAGAGAGAGGCGACGTCTT